CGGGCTGGGTGGCCACTTGTTTAGAACATTCCTTGGGGTGGGCAGGTTGGTCGAAGACCTCCTGTTTAGAACATTCCTCGGGGTGGGCAAGTGTGAGGAACAAAACGCACCATGACTAAGGCCCTCGGGCTGGGTGGTCGCTTGTTTAGAACATTCCTTGGGGTGGGCAGGTTGGTCGAAGACCTACTGTTTAGAACATTCCTCAGGGTGGGCAAGTGTGAAGACCAAAACCCACCATGACTAAGGCCCTCGGGCTGGGTGGTCGCTTGTTTAGAACATTCCTTGGGGTGGGAAGGTTGGTCGAAGACCTCCTGTTTAAAACATTCCTTGGGGTGGGAAAGTGTGAAGACCAAAACCCACCATGAATAAGGCCCTCGGGCTGGGTGGTCGCTTTTTAGAACATTCCTTGGGGTGGGCAGGTTGGTCGAAGACCTCCTGTTTAGAACATTCGTCGGGGTGGGAAAGTGTGAAGACCAAAACCCACCACGACTAAGGCCCTCGGGCTGGGTGGTCGCTTGTTTAGAACATTCCTTGGGGTGGGCACGTTGGTCGAAGACCTCCTGTTTAGAACATTCCTCGGGGTGGGCAAGTGTGAAGACCAAAACCCACCATGACTAAGGCCCTCGGGCTGGGTGGTCGCTTGTTTAGAACATTCCTTGGGGTGGGCAGGTTGGTCGAATACCTCCTGTTTAGAACATTCCTCGGGGTGGGCAAGTGTGAAGACATGAAACCTACATTGAAGATCGTATAACCGGCTGAAGAAACAGAAAGCAAAGAGCACCGGGAGTTGCACAACCACTAGACCAAGGGGTGTGCGCCAAAGTTCGAACATAAGAGAGAAGTCCAATGGCGCAAAAAAAAATCCATCATGTTTAAGGCCACGAGGCCGGATGGTCGCGTGTTCGACCACCTCCAGGGGTGGGCATGGGTTCAAAAACAGGAAACCCATCATGTTTAAGGCCACGAGGCTGGATGGTCGCATGTTCGACCACCTACAGGGGTGGGCATGTGTTCAAAAACAGGAAACCCATCATGTTTAAGGCCACGAGGCTTGATGGTCGCATGTTTCGACCACCTCCAGGGGTGGGCATGTGTGTATGTGTATGGTGAGACTAAATTATTCAAGTGATTGTGAAGCAAACAAACACCACTTAAACAACGACGAATGGACCGGTTAATGAAAGCGTATTATTCATGTATCAAAGTTTGCACCAATCATACTCCGAAGTCCGCTTTGGTTCCCATCGAGAAGTTATGACAAAGGTAACAAGTCGAAGTATTAAAAGCATTATTGAAGACCAAGGCAAATCAAAAAACAAACATTGTCATTTCAAACAAAAATATTACAAAAGATATTCAAGTACATAGTTCGAATTTATGATGAAATGTAAAGCCAATCTAAGGAGGAGGAGCGGTGGTCGAGTCCGCATTGCTCATATTAGCATTCAGGTCAGGCTGGTAGCTGGTCCCTGAGGTCGAGTAACAAGCTTCATTGAGTGGGCGCTGACGGATAGACTCAGTCAGCACAGCCAGCATCGAGGCAGGAGGAGTGAGGCCATCGGGCAGAGCGTATGTCTTCCTTAGTACATCCGATCGAGCCAGAGTCCTTTCAAGCAGTCCTGACCACCACTCGTGCTTAAGCGGTAAGTTAGGATCACCCTGGAAGCTAGAAGGGACCTTGGGCAAGGCCTCTCAGATAGCCCCAGGGTCGAGCTACTCGAAGTCGTCCTCGGCGATCTGCTCGCCGGCCTTCTGAAGGGCGACCTTAAAGCAGTCCACCCCGAAATCTTGCAACTCCTTCAAATGTTGTGGTGACCGCGTGTAATCGGCCACCACTTGATCACGGTACTCTCGAAGGAAGAGCTGCCCCGTAGTGGTGCCCCACATCATTTGCCGAGCTCGAAGGGCAGCGGCATCAGCGTAGCGTTTGCATTGTTGAGTGTGGGCAGCCCGTTCTTTAGTTAAGGTGACCTCCATCGCAGCTCAAGCGGCCTCTGCTTCAGCTCGAGCACTCTCTGCCTGGGCTTGAGCAGCTTCTGCTTGGGCTCGAGCAGCTTGCTCCTGCTCGAGGGCAGCCTCCCTCTCCTTTAAGGCGGT